GGGCTGCAGCCAACACTCAAAGCTGCTGAGGAAGGCAGCGCTGGGCCCTCCCACTGCCCAAACCAGTAGCAATGGTGGAGAGTGGAAATTCCTTCCATACCCATGTGGCAACCAACAAAATCCCAAACACCCTTCACTCTGCACTGCAGTCTAGAGGCCATGAACACAGTGACCCCCATGTCCAGGGATTGGGCCGATCCCAGTGTGGTGTGCTCAGGGGTAGGATTGTGAATATCTATACATGTCATGGGGGGAGTGGGTGTGTTGGGGGAGGGTATTGCTACAGGTATGTTGTAGGGAGGATCCTGCAGGCACAGGATGGTAAGTTGATGGGGTGCATTTGCAGGGGAGGAGGATTATGTCCTGCAGCTGGTTAGAAACGAAGGATGCGTTAGGTGGAGAATGGCAAGTTGCTGATGCTCTGGCACAGCGGACTGTTGGAGGAAAGGCACCGGGCTGTTTCCATTCTGTCCCAGTAGCAGGTGTGCATGGGCGTAGGCGTGTGCAGGGGTATGTGTGCTGGGGCAAGGTTTGTGTGGGGAATCGATGCTCAGTTGCTTGTAGGTACATCCCAGTACAGGGTGTGCAGGTGTGTCTTGGGCAGGGGGAAGCAGTTTTCTGCAGTTATACCAGAATAGGGCTCATGGCAGGGAGGAGGCTGAGTGCCTGTGATGCCTTCCCAGTAGGAATGCAAGGGAAGGATGGTGTGTTGCTGTGGGTCGGTGAGGCTGGGCTGTGTTGGGTATTTGCCATGCTCTTGCATGAGTAGTGCTTGGTGAATGCAGATGCTGAGCTGTGGGTGTGGCAGGATGAGCTCTGTAGGGCAGGAGGGTGCATTTCTGTGGTCACTTCCCAGCAAGGTGCATGGAAGAGTGCAGGGATGTGCACGCAGGGGAGGAATGCTGTGTTGTGGGTCCGTCCCAGCTAGGGGTGCATGTGTGTTGGAGGGGCTCTGGTGGGGTCTCTCACAGTAGGTGTGTTTAGGGGAGGACATTGAGTCGTCATGGGTGTGTCTTGGTGCAAAGCTGCTGGGTGGCAGTGGCTCTGTCTGAGGTGTGTGTGGGAGGATGTTGAGCCACTGCAGATCTAGCGCGTGTGGTGTTAAGACAGGGGTGGGCAAAATGCAGCCCGAGGGGCAGATGCAGCCTGCCAGGCCATTCTATCTGGCCCCCGGGGCCCCTAAAACATTTAGAAAATTAATATTAATCTGCCCTGGCTGCCTGTCGTGCGGCCCTCGATGGCTTGCTAGAACTCAGTAAGCGGTCTTCTGCCCAAAATAATTGCCCGCCCCTGTTAGGGGGAAGATGCTGAGCTGTTGCCCATTCCTTGGGTGCACATGGGAGGCCCTACAATGCATTGTCCAGCCCCAGTGATAGCAGGGCTCCCAGAATGCATTGCACACCACAACATGAGCTGATGTACTAGAGCAGAGCTCCCAAAATTCATTACTCATTCCCCCACCAGCCTGTCCACACCCTGCCACAGAGAGACCCCCCTCCATCACAAGTGGGTGGGTGTGGGTGCACACACACATGCACATAGTCGGATGCCAGTGGTACCAGGCTGGCCTGCCACCCATTCCATCCTTGTCTCTCCGGGGGTCTAATGAACAATCATCTCTTGACACTTTTAGTGATGACCCCTCTGCCAGGACTCCCTACATGGACCTAATGGCTGTAAGGGAAAGTCCTCTCTGTCCATCCATCCCTGTGTGTCTGCCCGCTTCCCTTGAGGAGCCAGAACCAGCACTGCTTCCCCTGCCCGAGAGCGGCTGGATCCTGAACCCTCTTTGGCAGGGGATGGCCTGAGGCTGGTAGGGGTGGAGTGGGTGTCTCTGCGCTCCACCCCACATACTCTCCCGCTCGTGACCCGGGGTGACCTCATTGCCCTTCTGGCCAATGAGATTGCTGCATGGAACAGGCCACTGTGACATCACCATGTTAACATACAGCAGGAGGAGCAGCCACTGCCCAGCAACCCACTCAGCAGCAGGACCCAGGGGTCTGGAGCCCCCCGGCTTCTCGCATGGTGAGCCAGCAGGGAAGGGGGTGCCAGGGTGGGGGCACTGTTGAGATATAGGGGGGACCCCTGAACCTGAAAAACTAGCCTAGAGCTGGAAGAGAAAGACCTGGGCTGCCCAGGGCTCCTTGAGGGGAGAGTCCCCTGCCCTGTCCCCATCCACCGAGCCAGCCAGGCAAGAGGACTGGCTCCTAGATCACCGTCCCCCCACCCCCCTACAGTGGTGCTGTTCACTGCAGGCGCTGAACACCGCTCCCTTAATGATCAACCATCTCGCTGTGGCTGGAGGAGGGGGTGCGAATTAAGTGCCCGGGGCTCCCCTGCCTCCCTCCCCTCCCACAGCAACAATGGCAATTGTCTGGACCTCCCCCCAACCCACAGCCTGGGGGAGAAGGGGCTGTAGTAACCCTAACCATGCCCTTCCTCCTCCCCAGCCTGGGGGCAGTGACAGGCTTCTCTGCCCTTTGCGGGGGAAGGGCATGGGTTTTTGCTCCCCCTGCCCTGCCCTGTCTCCAATGCCCCCTTCCTGCTCCCTGCACTGTGGGGCTACCAGGCTCACCCACTGACATGGACAGGGGGTTCCTGAGGGTCCCAGGGGCAGTTCCCAACCCAAGGCTACACTCCTACAAGCCCCTGCCTGGGGTTGTCCTTGCTGTGGGGTCTCCTAGGCAGGGGGGGAAAAGAGGGGTCTGGGACATGCCCCTGCAGCTGAAGTGGGGTGGGGAAGCTGTCATCCCCTAACTGCCCATTCTGTACAACCAGTGCCATGGGCAGCCCACAACATCATGGACCAGATCCTGCCCAGCCCGGACAGCCACAGCCCTGGGGAGGAGGGACTGCCAGGGATGAGGCAGCTGCCAACCCCCCAGAGACCAGGACCATTGCCACCCACGGGACAGACCCCACAGAGATGTCGGGGGCAGGACCCTCCCTGCAGGAGGACTCCCCGCCCCTGAAGAACATAGGACACACGGAGGCACCATCACACCAATGCTCCCAGGTGAGTGCCAAGGGGCTGTGAGGGACGGGAGGAGTGGGCTGGGGCACTGAGCCTGATGGCTTTGGGCACCACCAGTCTCTAAACCATTGAGCATCCATGTCTGCATATTGGTCTGTCCATCTGCCTGCCCATTCTTCCCTTCCCCAAACCCCACTGGGACCCATTCCCCTCCCAGAAAACCCAGACACCCTGATTCACAACCCCCCTTGCTCAACCCATAATGCTTTATGGAAATCCTTAGGTCTTCATAAAGAATAGTAATACTGATTTAGCTCAGCTCTATTCACAAACCCAGATCAGTTTAATTTGCTTTGAAATCATATCTGTTGTTAAAATTGCAACTGTATGTGGGGACACATATCAGTTTAAATCTCCCTTGCAGCGGATCAGCTTGTCTACAGTTTACAAGAGCTAAACTCATTCAAGGGTGCAGGCAAGTGAACGAGTTACCACGGGATAAGCCAGGGTGGGCACATCAGCTTGGCAGGAAACCAGTGTGCAAGCTCAGGCCCAATGGTCATTGCGAGGTAGCATAACTCTGAGTGAGATGAGCTTTTCCACAGCAACTGTGGATAAAGAGCATTCACATGGCCAGTTACTGGGGACTGCCTCGTGTTCACTCAGATGTACAATATAAGAACTTAGGGACACTCCCAGAAATGATCAGGGTGTAGGTTTAAAACAAGATGTTTTTTACATCATGTGTAGTCAGCTTGTGGGCTGCAGGAGGCTGTAGAGGCAGGTATAATCAAGTTGGAAAAGGGATTAAACATTAACGTAGTACTGGTCCACTGGGAGCTATTAAATAGAGGTGCGTATTCTCTGCCATTCCTAAACCAATGCTGGTCGATGCCAGGGAGGGTATGACAGGGAATGGAGCGCTCTAGATAAGCCCTGTTGATATGCTCTCCCTCTAAGGCAGGGATGGGCAATTATTTTGGCTGGAGGGCCACTTAACGAGTTTTGGTGAGCTGTTGAGGGCTGCGTGCACAGTTTTTCAGAAGATATCATTTTAACAAATTACAGATAAAAACAAACCATATACTAAAAGTCAAATGTTTGATATAACTAGGGACCTACCAAATTCGTGGCAGAAGTGGGACGCGTGGCAGCTCCTTTAGTCTTCCAGGTTCCCGTGTGCGCCACCCCAGCCACTGATTGGCAGAGGGGCCCTCCTACTAACTGCTCCTCACTCCCCGCTCACCCCTCATGGGCAGGGAAGCAAAAACCATGGTTTTAAATATGGCACTATTTTGCCTCCCTGCTGGTCAGCAGCAAGCAGGGCCATGAGGAGGGAGAGCCGCTGGAGACAAGAAGCCAAGTAGTGCCTGGGCAGCTGTGGCAGCAGCCCCACTGGGAAGCTGTGTGGCCAGGGCTGGGGTGGTGCTGTCTGGCAGGGGCTTGGCCCCATGTGGACAGCTAGAGGGGCAGCTGCAGTCAGATCCAGTCAATTGGTAGGCACCTTACCCCAGGCTGGATCCAGCCTGCAGGTCATATTTTGCCTGCCCCTGCTCTAAAGCATATGCTTGCCACTGTCAGAGAGGCTACTGAGCTACGTGGATTACTGGTCTGACAGTACAGCACTGGGTATATGAATCCCATTCCAGCTGCCATATTGCTACAAATATTCCTAATGTATGTATGAGCAGGTGCTGAACCACCACCACCAACTTTCTGGTGCTGTAGGCTGAATGAAGTTGCTTGACAGGCTGTGGTCAGGCCCCGGGGTTGTAGGTTGCTGATCCCCAGCCTAGGGAATGGAAGTGTCAAGGCAGCAAATTGGGAAGAGATTCTATTCCTCTCTTCCCCCCCACCACCCGCAACCATGAGCCAAGTTGAACGACAGCCAAGATAAGAGTTTTTCAAATGATGATTTAAAGACAGCTTTCAGGTTGGTGCTGACCACAGAAGCCACAAAGGAAAGGCTGACAATCATCCTAACTCCCTCAAAGTCACGTATTTAAATAAATCTAAGCAAGAATTAATAATTTGGGTAAAAATTTATTTTACATACAGAACACTGCTACTAACTATTAAACAAGGGAGAAGATAGACGAGCTAGTCACCTCCGGAAAAGGAAAAACTAAGATTAACAGAACTCCAAGCTGGAGAGCCAGGATTTTAGTTCGGGAGTCAAAGGGCAAGGCTTTCAGCACCATGCATTTGGGTGGGGAACTGCAGGAGGTTGAACTGTACATCTCCAAGTCAGGTTTGAGCCTCCCCACCCACCTCAGTCTGGAAACGGACCCCACAGCTGGTAACAGATCTTCCCAACGCTGGAGGAGGCCTGAAGAGGCACCAGTGCCATTTCAGACATGCTGTTCTATCAGACTCTCACAAACTGTATGTGAAGATGGAGAAACAGCACAATCTCTGTGAAGTACAAAACACTGAATTACAGGGCTGAAAACAAACAGGACAGCAATAATGGCAGGACCCTCTTAATCCAATCGTTCTATGAGCAGTTGGTTCTTGACAGAGTTCATACCGTGGCCCTAGTTCAAATGTACAAAGTACAAAAAATACCTGGACCAATATTCAATTGTACTTGAAAAACAAAACCATCTACTGAAAAGCAAATATTATCCTAGGTGACAACGAGTCCTTAAAAGCAGGGAGGCTGAGGGGACTTGCTTGTGCAGAGCTGCTGCTGGGCTCATTCACGCTGCTCCATTTTTACTTTGGGAGGCCTCAGAAAGGTCCTGTTTTTCTTTTCTTTCTTCCCTTTTGTATTTGCCTGGAAGTTTCTCCAGCTATCCACACGCCCGTCTCGACTCTCCTAAGCAAGATACGGGAGGAACATGTTAACACAAGGAAAGACAAGACAGACAGAGAAGGTCATGTTCCACCAACTCTGACAGACCGCAACCTCTCACCCAGCGGATGGCACCTCCCAAGTAGGTGCCAAAAAAAGGAGAGCAGATGGATTGCAGAGGGATAGCATCCATCTAATTCAATGGTCACCAACGAGTGGATCTCGATCCACCGGTAGATCTCAGAGCCTCTTGCAGTTGATCTCGGAGCCTCTTGGAGTCTATCAGAAGCGGGGGTGGGGGACTGAGTGCCTGTGTGCATACACACACCCCAGCCCAGCAGGTCAGTCCATGGGGGTGAGGGAGGGAAGGGATGGAGGCTAGATCGAGGCCCTCGCGGTGAGGGACAGTGCCACAGAGGGAGGAGCAGGGGTAAATTGAGTGGGGCCCCAGCCAGGTGCGACTTACCTGCTGGGGAGGTGCACCCATGAATAATTTTTTCTCCCTCTGCCTCGATCTGCTCCCACCCCCCTGCAACTTACCTGCTGGGGGTGGGGTTTGGCGGCAGCACATGGTAGATCTTGGGTTGCTTTTAAATGCCAAAGGTGATCTCCTACTTAAAAAGGTTGGAGACCACTGATATAATGCAACAGGGACGAACATCTTTGGACATCATCTGGCCAAGCTGGCGACTAGAGCTTTAGTCTACGTCCTATGAAGAATGGTAGCAAAAACATACAGGCCAGCGTGCAACTGAGATCAAGTGATGATGACTGGGAAACGGGGCTAATTTTTGGTGAGGCAATAGGAAGCCATAATAAGGCTAAAGAGGCAAGAGGAGAAACAGCAGTCTACAAAGCATCTTTCATGTCTGTATACCAATGCGAGTCTGGGGAACAAACAGGACGGACTGCTTTCAGCATTCCAGGTTTCAATTCCTTTGAAGCAAAAATATTTCTTTTGGCATGAAGACCTGGAAGAACATTTTCGCCAAGGAATAACCCCCGCCATATGTATCTACTCCATATGGATTTGAAATATAAACACAATAGTAGGCACATGCCTACTATCAAACCAAGAATCCACATGTTATTTTGTTTCTAACCCTCTTCTCCCAGAGGAGGGGCAAGTACTCCAGTGTATATAGGCTTCTTCCACTTAAAGACAGTATAAGTATATTTTTAGGGCACAAATTTAAACCAATTTAGCTTAGAGAATGAGCTCTTCACACAGACTACAAGGCAAATGGGCAAGGGAGGAGACCCAGTTCCAAATGCACAGGTTCACTTGCCCAGAGACAAAGGCAGAGAGCATCATGCATTTCAGAGCTGCAGCACCAGCAGCCATGATAGCTTCCCACGATCCCCATCTTTCTTGCCCACTTTTTAATCTCCAAACAAGCACCTTTGTGTTTTGTCCCACGCTTGGGAGAAGCTCCCTGTAAACATCTGCATGCTCCCTCAGAACTCCTTTGCCAAGATATCTACAAAAACCTCACAACAGTTTGGCTGTTCCTGTGCTACAACTGTTATCTCAGACAATGTCATCTCACTGCTTCCTTGTGTTTCTCTCTTGTCTGTAGCCCCTCACCGTCTCTCATCTTATACTGAAGTTCTGTGGAGCTTTTGTTCTGAGTTTGTAGAGCACCTAGCAGAATAGTCTGTGGGTCAGCCTCCTAGACGCTAGGATGGAACTGATAAAATTTAAGTGAATTTCAGCATACAAGTCCAATATTTTTCACCGAGTACAGGTACAGCATGAACAGCAGCATATGCAAAGCCTTGACAGATATGCCTGCCATCCTGACTCATCTCTGCACTCATTCAGGTTTATGGTACTCAGCCAAGATCCACGCTTCTTAGATACAAACACCCATCCACGAAGAACTAGACTGAGTCTCACCAATGTATTTCACAGGTCAAACACACACACTAATGACTCAAGCTCAGGGGCAATTCGGTCTCCTGGCTGAGTGTAGATATAAAGCTGTAAGAGGGGCGAGATATACAGCACCTCAATTCACTACAGACACCTCCTCGTGAAAGGGGCACAGAACAAAAGCTTTCCTTTGTATACAAGAGATCCCTTCAGCCTTCATAACACACAAGAACACTGTTCCTCTCCATGGATTATGCAAAACCCAGGTTCCTGTAGGATCTTTCACTACACTTTCTGCCTACTTAAACTGCCTTGTGCCATTACTGGACAGGACAAGACTTGCTCTGTTCTCCAGATGCATCCTCTGTAGCCAAGCCCAGAGCTGCTGAGATGCCTTTACTGAAGATAGCAACTGGCTGTGCTGCAGAGTACCTCAAAGTTCTTCTGCCACTCTCGCTCTCGTTTGGCTTTCTCTTGGGCTTCAATTTCTTCCTCTCTCTGCCGCTTCCTGGAAGGGAGGCAATAAAGAAGTACATGCTTGTCAGTCCATACTTTAAAAAAAAAAAATACACAACCCACCCACAAACTTCTCAGGAATCCACTCTGATTAGGCAGGGAAGGTAAGTACTTTTGAAAAAGAATGAATGAAATATGCACTTTGAGCCAGGAAGTAAGAGAACGTGGCGTATAAGACGTTTCAGACAACTCAGATAAGGAGAGCACTAACACAAGATGACACAATCACTGATGACAAAATGTGTACTACTGGGTCAGTGATTCCCAAGTTTCATCTTGGCAACCCCTTCTTGAAAGTCAAATGTTTCACAGCCATTCAACGTTTTTTGTAAGCATACCAATGACAACAATTATACCCCTACCTACTCGCTGAGATAGTCTGTCAGCCTTTCTTGGACCACTTGACTGAAGTGGGGGGTTTGCTCTTGACTGCAGCAAACTTTAATACCTTGCAGCCCCCTGACTGATATTAGCCTGCCAGCTGGGAAATGTTGCACTATAATCATGCAAAATCCCAAAGTGAACCATCAGGTCATGAAAGTCACCAAATATAAAAAAAAGATTTCAGCAACATATTTAACATTAGGAAACTTAATGCTTTGCTTACTGCTAGCACATCAGCATGTGCTCTCACCGAATTGTTCTTGTGAGTGACTTCTTTAGGAAGTCCCAGAATCCATAATAAAGTATTGTTTGAAATTAAAGAACTAGGCCTCTTAATAGAACTGTTACATCTGTCTACTCCTGTAAGTGACCACATAATCACTGTAATTGTAACCGTTCCACTCCTGAGCAGCTAGTTCTCCTTTCCTTTTTGAATGTTTTAAAATTACATTTGTCCACAGTCTTAATTTCCTCCTGAACACACATGACAAAGCCTCATTTACACACAGAGTGCCAATGCTGCTCATACCTTTCATGCATTTCTTTAGCTTCTCTCTCTTTCCTTTTAATTTCAAGTTCAGCAAAGAGCTTCATCGTCTGTTTATACACAGCTTGTTTGAACTGTAAGAAACAGAACAAGTGGTAATGCACTTTGCAGCATCTGTTTTGCACTGGGCCTTAAGCTTTGCTGGTTTAATAGCCCTGTGTGCTAGATAAGAAAGAAGCTTCATCTGAGACCCATAGTAAGGGGCACGAATAACACAGTGTTGCAGGAAAGTCCAACTCACAGGAATCAGAGTTCATGCATTTCCACAGAACTCTGCAGGACTCAACATGCAAGGAGGCTAATCCAACCTTCTTGTATTGGGGGCACAATTACCCTGTTCTCAGGATGACCGTCATGAGCACCTGCAGAGCAAGATGAGCAGTATGTTGCTGTATAAAAACTCTTTGCTCCAGCTCCAATTCCAGCATTATATTCTGGAATTCAGAAGCAAGTACCGCTTTCACATTTCAGCTGGTGAGAAAAGTAAAAATGCAAACAGAAGGAAGAGTATGAGGGGAGATGGCACTGTTCCACAAAGTACCTTCCCCCAGCATTTTCTTCCAAACCAAAGTTAAGATCATCTAAGCTCAGTATCAGGCTTGCATGGGACTGCCAGGTGACAGTTTTATTGTCAAGAGTCCTTGGAATATGACCCTGCAACGCCCAGTCTTGAATGTTCAGACTCCTTGAACAGAACCAAAAATATTTGCTCTCGTGCAACTTACTAATTCTGGATCATCTTCTTCTACGTCGGTGGGTTTGCCTTCCTTCTTCAACTGCTTCTTTTTTTCTTTTACCTAAGGAAGATTATGCTAGGGTAAAAAATGGACTCCCAAGGCATTTCACTGGGATTCCTTCTTACAGTCCAACTGAGTCAGCAGCCCTCATATGCACATATCGCCGGGGGGGGGGGGGGGGTCTCGTCCCAGAGCGACAGTCCAACTTTATCCTGGATTTGCATTTTATCTAAAAATCTTGCAGCTCTCAGCCTACAGACATGCACACATAAGTGAACCCCATTTATTTAAAGGGCCACTGTTCAACAGTCCCCAGTTGTTTTTATTCACACTTAATATGCCTCATCTGCAGCACTAAGAAGTTTGCTTTTTCCTCATTCTACTGAGAAGCTTGTTACACCAGCCAGCAGGCAAATGCTGTTCTAAACCAAAGGACAGACTGTTCCTCCAACTGGGGAATGCATACTCCTGTGATGAACTTCAAGAGAATGAGAGAGGAAGAGATGGGAAAGCAGAAAAAGGAAATTAAATGGAAGAAAAAGATGAAAAAAAAATAAACAACTCTATGATATTTCTTTGGTTGCTGAAGATGATAGTGTAACTTTCCTTAACAAAACCATATGGGTACACAGCAGTATAACAAACCTAAAAAGGGTTATAGAACCACAAACAGTCTGAGAACTACTGATTTAAGGCCTCAGAGTTTCCTCTTAGCCTGTTTCTCAAGCTATTTGTGTGTTACATCACCTGTATGACTGAGTGTCAATCAAGCTTCCAGCATCCTTCTTTACCTTCCGGGACATTTTCTCTAAACCCACGGGTCCCATAACACATTATTCTCTCACCACCAGCTATTCTCCAAATTTAATCTGTATCAATCATTCATAAATTCAAAAATTTTAAATTCAGATCATGTGGCCTGACCCTGATCACAGGCCGTCACATTTCACTCCGCTATCCCATACTGGTCCCAATAACTTCTGTTTCAATAAAGCTTAGTTTTGTGCATGCAGCTGAACTACGGCTCGAGGCCCAATTCTGTTTGGAGCGTGCACAGCTCAGTCACTCTGATGTCTTATGCATCCACAGTGTTATACAAGTAAGCAGCACCAAATCCCAGAGCATCAAAAAAGG